TGCATGCGCATGCAGCTCCACTTGCACGAGCAGCAGGTGCTTGTGTAGCTCCACTCGCACAAGTGGAGCTGCACACACTCATACGCATTCACATGCACAGCTCCATTCATGCAAGCGGCGGCCACTTATGAAGGTCCACTTGTGTGAGTGGAGTGTGTGCCCAAGTGCCTGCCACTCACGTGATCAGAGTCGCCTGCACTAGTGCCCGCTGCTTGCACAAGTGGAGCTGCATGCGCATGCATGCTCACATGCCACTTGTGTGGCCTAATTCTGAACTGGCCTGAGCCACAGCCCAGGGGTTGGGGACCTCTGTACTAAACCAGTGATTCCAATGGGAACAAAAGAATTCGTATTACTTTTCAGGATTTTTTTTCCACTGTGCTGTTCTGGTTCTCACTCAGAAATTTAAGAACCAACCCAAAACATTTTTTTGCCTGAAAATGATATTGCTCTTATTACTTGAACATTATCTATCAAAGAATGGTATTGTATACTGGATCAAATGATCAAGAAAATAACACATTAAAATAGCTTACTTGCTCTTTTTTTTATTGGAATGATTTGGAGAATTAAGTTAATTGCTGCATCATAAACAGATTTTATCCTCTCAAAAAAGTTGAGTAAAAAGGCTAAGGAAAAGATTATTTTATCATACCTTCCCATTAGTGCTAGGTATGTTCTCCTGATCATGATTAATATCAGGCATTCCATCAGCTTGTGTTCTTTTTTGATTGTTTTGTTCTTTCAAAATCATTAACTGGAATAAAAGAATAAAATACTATATTAATTGACATTCTATATTTCGAATAGAAAAAAGAACATTTAACCAATATTAATTATTTGCAGTGATAATATTCACAAAATATATTCATGAATGGATAACGATAGATATATTAATGACCTTGATTTTAAAGAATTATGATCAATTCCTATAAACTTTTCAGAAAATATTTATCAAGCAACAAGCCTGCATTTAAAACATGATACAAAAAAAAAACTAACAATAACTCAGCCATTTTCATATACTTAATTAGTAAACAAGATTGATCAATTGATTTTTAAGGTAAGCTAAAACATTTCAAGTATCTGCTAGTGAAAACTCAATTCTTGGTGAAAAAAAGATTCCATAAAAAATTAATAGCTACACAGTTATGAACCTGGAAAAATGATTTTTAGAATTCTGAAAAAGTTCAAGAAAGTAGTAGTGGGAGCTTGCAGATTTTGTAAAATGGAGAAAATAATTGGTAGTTCATAAGCTGCAAACAGGAAAGTATCAGGGCATGCCATTCCAGTCTGATCACCTAGATTCTAGAAGTACCTGCTGAAAGTATCTTCTTTTTGCAAGCTACATGAACAACACAGAAAGCCCAATCTGTGGAATATCCTCCTTATATTAGTTCTAACTGTATTGTTATTGCAATGTTAATTCCATAAACAAGTGAAATCTTTTTTATTTCACTGGGACTTTGCTCACCTGACTGAGTATATCTACTATGGAATTTGATTTTCCAGCAAGGTATTAATTTTACCCATTAAATCTCTCTCACTCTCTTCCCAAAGACCCCCAGTTTTGGTCCCACCCATTTCAAACTACATTATGATATCACTAGCCAAATTTCTCAAGGTCAAAGAAATTGCCAAACAGCCCCTGGTTACAAGTAACCTTTCGCTTCCCTTGATAGGTCTTATGCAAACCTGACAAGTTTTTTTTATCCATTTGTAGTTTACTGGAAATAACTTACCTCTTTGTGTGTAGTACCTAGTTCTTCCTCCAACAAGCTGCATCGTTCAAGTGCTACTCGTAATCTTTCCCTTACCTAGGAGATTAAAGTTAAGATATAAACACCAAACAATTCTGCTAGCATTAGATGCCAAACTATTCAGTAACTATCAAGAATAAACTGATAACAGTAATGTTGGTGAGTAGGGATAAATTTGAAAAGCAACACAAATTATCAATACATTTTTTGTGACTGGAGCCATCAAGTGATTAAGCAAACCTAATAATAAGCCATTATGCATTTTCTATTACTTTTGATGGCAATATGTTTCTGCAGCAGAAAGGCACAATGAGGTAGATTATATGGTACCCTTTTAGACTAGTCATCTGGCCAATAATTATGAAAATGATTATGAGGTATTATGAAAGCCGTAATCCATCCATGGAGAGCAGAAATTTCAATTAAAGCCAATGCTGCTATATTAGTTGTGATTTATGTCATGTACCAGAACTGAGGCAACACTAAAAATCATTTTTGCCTGAATAGAAATGGAAGGGCAACATTTATTTTTGCTTCATTTTATGATTTAGACCAACTTACAACACCCATTTTGAATTTTGGTCTGTATACAAACAAAACAAATTACATAAGCAATAGATGTTTAGTCTATATCTCCATTTAAAAATAAAATAAAATACCAGACTGCTCTTAAATGAAAAAAATGAAAGAACTAATTTTTACACTAATAAAATAATAGTTACAGTATTTTTTTAACATATATATTGGGAGTTACTGTACACTGCCTAGAGTTTTCTTGGAGCAAGGCAGCCTTAATGAATCCCATAAAATAAATAAAAAATTTCATGAAGAAAAAAAAACCGGTAATCTTCTACCTTTTCATCAAGGGCTTTGTGATGTTCAAATAGAGACTTTAGTGCTTTGAGAACTTCAACTTCACTAGAAACACCAGCTGGAGATTGAGCTTGTCTTTTTACTACGGTCATTCTTAAAGACCTTTCATGCCGGGAGACAAGGCATTCCAAATGTTCTAGTAGTAACTGAAAATCGAATGCAATTACATGAGAAAAAAGCAGTATATATTGAACTGAAGAAAATAATATTCAAACGTATTTCACTATCAATGAGACACAATTATCACTTTGTTTCTGCTTCTCTGTAAAGCTATGCAAGTTACATTCAGTTATTATATATTAATCATTTTTGAAGCTGAACATAACTTACAGAAAAAATGCACTTTCATAATATACACAATGTTCTATTCATTATTCAAAACTATCTAAGCTTTCAAATTTTCTTCTATTTTTTAAAAAGCAAGTATCATCCTATCCAGTCCTTAATTCTTATTGATGTTTAAAGGCAAAAAAGTACATAAAAATGCTCATCTAACACTGAACCTCAGCAATGCAAAGAAAATAATAATAATATGTTTATGTTTATCTTCTTGATCAATATAATGGAAAACATGATAATGTTGAATGCTTCTACTTTAGTTGCTGAAGTTATCCAGGTAATCCATGACTTATGACTGGTCCCTTAGCAACTGTNCATTTTGAAGCTCCTCCACTTGTTTCTTGGTACTTTCAATTTCACGGAGAAGGGAATTCTGGTATTAAATTCAATGCAAAAGATCGTTAATACAAAGAGCTGTTAAGATTTGAGTCTGTATATTTTAAAAAAAATACTTTTTTTCTATTTTACTTTTATGATCACAAAATACTTAATTCTGCTATTTGTTTTAGCTGATATACATATTCTTTGCACCTTTTCTGCTAAACAAGATCCTATGCTTTTTACTAATTTAAAAATGATATAGATTATTATTTATTTCTTGATCCCCGGATCCTAAGTTTCAGGATAGGAAGATGCACAACAGTTAATTCAGTGCATTGTGTAAGTAGATATAATTGCTTTTTGTTGCCAATGAGAAAGGAGAGATTGTAGCACTAGATTGTCATCACTTTTATTTATTAACAGCTGGGAATAGATGGATGCATGGATGGATATAGACAGAACTTTATATGTTTATAGTTTTTACAAAAGTTTTATCAATTTATCAAGTATCCACTGCACTTGAAGCAATATTCATTCATATTTAAAATTACTTTATCTTCCAGAGCTGCCATTCTTTCTTTAAGGTGAAGCTGAAGTCTCTCATTAGATTCAGATAAAAGTTTATCAACTGTATCAGATAAACGTTTATTATGTTCTTCATTCATCTTCTCTCTTTGTCGAGCCTAAATAAGAGGAATAGAAGGAAAGGACAGTAAAAAATAAATAACAAGAATAAGAACCATTATCTTTTGCATACTTAATGTATAAACCTGTCTCAACTCTGGATTTTTATTATTCTCTAATAGGATTTTTCTTTGTTTTTCCAAAGATGACCAAATTTTATATCATTACCATCTAAGTTAACTCTTTTGAAAATCCACATGAAATAACAGATTATTGGAAATAATAGGCATTTGTTCATATAGTTACCAGATGCCAATCCTGACTCAAGTGAAAACTATTGTGTGATTTTAATATTAATATTTAATTACAGGCAGTTGATTCTGTTCCTACTTAACCCTTTAGTGCTACCTAATTTGTTTTCTACTGGTATTTCATATATACTCCTAGACAAGTTTTACCCGCCTTATTTTAATTTCATGTAGATAAGTAAATTATGCTTTCCTCTGCCAACCTGAAATTCATCATTGATTTTTTTTTTCAGAGAAAAGAGAGACAATCTCATTATTGTAATGACATACCCTTAGTAGTTCTTGATTTTTCTCTTCTAGCTGTGTTTCCATTTGTCTCAATCGTTCTTCAATGTTTCCGTGTCTTTCTTCAGCCTGCCATTTTAAATAATACTGGTAATTAAAATCTAAGAATCCATCAGAAGAAAAATATTAGCAAACAAGCATATCATGCTGTATGAGACTGCTATTTTTGTTCACACACTGCAAGATGTTCAAGATATATTACTGCCAAGGCTGGCAAAACACAGTGGATGAATTCATGCATCAAATGAGCAATTTATTCTCTCACCCCATAACATCTTGCTATGATGATTGAAGCAACAGGAAGTCTTGACAAAAGAGATACCTTTGCATTATGCATCTCAAAAAAAAATCTATTATCTTCCTCACATTCATTTTAATGTGTGAAGTTTTTTTTAAAAAAAAACAACAACAAGCAGTAGCAAGCAGAAATAAGGACTTAAGTCCTTTGTGTAAATTCTACCTTCCTAGACTGGGAAGTATATTCGAACAGATTAACATCTTTAGTTGAAGAATTCCGAGAAGGTAAACAGTCAAGCTATAAAAATAAGGAATAAAATAGTAGCAAGAAAAAAAGGAAATGAAGTGACATCAAGAATTTACTTTTAAATATTGGGTACAAAATTGCTGGAGTACTTAATTTATCCTACTAAGAACTGGAAAAAGTTTCTAAAACAGTATTCAAATCAGGCACAAAAGGGTATTTCAACATCTTCAAAGCAATTAAAAACAATGAACTGCTATACAAAGGGTTAGAAAGCAAGAAACATAGAGACTAGATCAGTCAATTTGAATTATCTGGTTAAAAATGAAATGCAAGAAACCCCAAATGATCAAGAATCAACTGTTTCTTCTAAATATATGTATCATAAAACTCAACCTACCTTAGTAAGTGCAGCTACTCTCTGAGCCAATTCAGCCTCTACTTCTGGCAGAGTTTCAGCTTTTCTCAGAGTTTGCTGCAATTTTTGTTCAGCCAGTTCCAATCGTTCTTGTAACTGCCTATTCTTGTCTTCACTCTAGAAGCAAAAATAAAGTTGCTTATAGCAACAGCTGCAGACATTATTCTGTGTGACATTTCGATAGTTTCTCCATTAGCAAAAAAAGTGAGCAAATTGATGTATGAGATCATACAGTCCTGTTTAATCACCGAAATTATATACAACACAACATTCAAAAGCACATTTATATATGACCATTACAAAATGTACATTATTTTATTAAAAATTATGTTTAAAAACCCTTCATTTTGTCTACCCTAATTAAATACTGAGATTCAATTTTATTGGGTAAAACTGAACTTTTGCAAAAGTGCTATGGATGCCACTGCAAAATATTTAAATTCCTTTCATGAACATGAAAGTGCTATTATGGAAAGCATAGTCGGTAACAAAACATTTTTGTACTAAATGCAGACTTAGACAAAAAGAGACATAAAAACTTGAGTACAAGACAAATCCTAACTAAAAATATCACACAGATTTCATAATAAAAAGACAAACACTAAATTGAATACACTCACTGCATATAAATCCTAACCTTTGTAATTATCTTCTATGTTTTCCAGCTCTGATTTTGCTCCCCATGAGGGTGCTTTATCTCCTTTATCCCAAAACCATCTAAGATTGTGACAGCAACTAATGGCAAGCAACCACCTTTTTTTTCCTTTTTCAAGCTTAAAAGGCCTGCTAATTCCATTTTGAAAACACCAAGAATAGCCATTCCTTGAAGATCTCCTCAAAACTACCGAAGAAGAGGCATTTTTGTTGAAGGAAAAATATAAAACATGGAAAGGATGAAACCTTCTTATAACTACAAAACCTTTAAAAATTGGTAACAAATATGCATAAATTTTATCCAAATCAAATTAGCTTGAATTATTAGAAAGCTCCCCTGCCCACGATCCAGAACTTTTAGTATTAATTTATGGAAAGCTCAAAGCGTTATTTAAAAAATAAGTTTACCTGTCGATGCAATGAATCTTTGTTAGCAATTTCATTTTCAAGTTTATCATTAAGATCATGCACAGATGTAGCTTCACGTTGTGCAGCGAGGTAGCGTTTTTCAAGAGTTGTAATTCTTTCTTCCATATCTTCCTTCTGAGCCATTGCCTAAATTAAGATTGTCAGAAAATTACAGAAATATATTCTCCCTCCATTGTGTGTTTAACAGGTTGTCTTAAAAAAATTAATAGCTTTTATTATAGAAACCCAAGAGAATATCCAAAGAACCATTGGGGGGGGGGGGGTTCAATTTGTAAGAACTGCAACTTTCTTTAATCTTACATATCTTAAAGAGACTGCAAACTGCTAATTATACTCAAAACGTTCACCATTAAAAGTGCAAACATTCCAAATATATAATTTACTTTTGATATTTGAGGGGAAAAAATGAAAATAATTGCATTTAGAAATAGAAATAAGCTATTTAAAGAAAACCTCCAGAAATTCCATGCGGGGACTTTTTTAGCCCCAAAATATTATTTTAAATTTTGCATATGTACCAAGTACCAGTGACGTGCAGTCAGGGGAGGCACAGACTCACCACTGTCAATCATGAAAAGGAAAAAAATGTAAACGGGAAAAGACGAGTGCTGAGGTTTTCTTTAAATA